GTACCGGAATCGAACTCATGACCTTGCACTTACCAGGCAGGTGCTGTGTCGCTGAGCTAAATCCCCAGCCCCTCAAAGGTATATTTTTGATGAGTCAAATCTCTTTTATAAAGTCTAATTCATCAGTGTTTTCCTTTATGGTTAGTACTTTCTAATATCCTGCCAAGAGTGAACTTTTCATTTTCAATTGAAATCATTCTATACATACTTTTTAAATAACATTTTTAACTTGCCAACCTAATACAGATCATTTGATATCATAATATTTCTCTAGGAATGTATTTTAAATGGCTGTGTAGTATTCTACTGCATGGATATTTCATCCATTTTGTAACTTAATGCTTACTGTTGCACCCTCATATTCTTTTAGTATATTATTTAAATAAAATTACCAATGAGTATATTACAAACTAGAAGCCTAACATTTTTAAATCCAAACTTCACTATTTCCAATCTTCCTTACCCAATAAGAGTACACTGAGCTCTCAATGATTCTTCAACATTTTACTAAATATTCTGGAGGATACAGAACACGTGCGGTGACACGTGTCCTTAAGGAGCTGACAGGATATTTGGAAGCCCCACACTTTACCTGCGTAGTGATTAAGGAACAACTGAGCCCTCGAATATCTTCTTATAGTCATTAGGATAGGAAGCCAGGGGAAGTAAGACGAGGACCCACCAGAATTGTTGTCCCCAAGAAAGAGATGGGTTTTGAAGGCCCCTTCCGCACTGGGGTGAGCATCCCTCAGTATGAGGACTGCAGAACCAGAAGTGTGGAATCCGGAAGAAAAAGATCTGTGTCTGCAGGGCAGAGAGGAGTTGCTCTAACCTGAAGGTAAAACTGAATGCTGATGAGTCGGGGGAAATAATGATGGGGAAGAAAGATGAAGCCACATTGTGAGGGCTTCGACATGAGGAATTAGGATCTGGTTTCATAGCAACAGGTGCAGGACAACGGAGGGTAAGGAGGAGGACCTGGGTCACAGATTGCCATTCAGTGAGAGTCTTGAGACTGGTGGTGAGGGTGGCCGGAGTGGAATCAGAGTGACAAATTAAAACTTAAAGGAATAAATCAAGAAGTGAAGATTTACAGTTCATAGAGATTTTCATGAAACAAAATGCCAAGTATTTGCCTTCATAGTCTCTTGTTTGGCTCTAAATAATCTCCTAAGTTATTTTTTAAATGGTATTTCAAAAAATAAAGTGTTATGACAATACTAATTATTAATGGTCACATACAAATGTTGTCTCTAAAATACTTTCTACCCACAGGGATAGTTATGACTGTCACTGTGTGGGGAAAAAAAACAATAATAAGATTTATCAAACAGTGTTTTTATCCCTTATTTCCATGGAGAAACATTAGAATCTAGGGATTTGGGATCAAATCGTGGTTAGGCCATGTTAGAAAATTCACTTAACCTCTCTAATCCTCACTTTCCTCCTCATACTATGAGAATAATAATAACTAGAAAAATGGCTTTCACATAATAAAGGTTAACTATTACTAACTTGGTCTATGAGGTAGATGTCATTATTTTATAGATCCATTGACTAAAGTACTGCTGTGTAGAACTAATTTACATCAGAAACATATTAGCATTTATTACAGGGCAAAGAGTAAAAGATACAATAAGAATGAACGATGGGAAATTTAATTAAAAGCACTATCTAATGGCATCCTTGACTCTGTATCTATTATATCTTTAGTGTCATTAATAGTAATAAAATAGTTGATTTTTGTAGAACTTAAAGCTTGGAAACAAAGCCCAACAACATGTATATATGTATTTAATGGTGGGAGATCCGGCAACATTCGGCGACAGGCACGGTGTGCCACTCCATGGGGTGAAATGCGTGCCTCTTGCCAGCTTCTGTGGAGGGACTGTTGTTCATCACAGCTGTAATGTTCCCTTCAGAGCGCTCCCACTGGAATGGAAAAGGCACACTGGCAATTTATATACAAAAGCCAACCCACGTTTGGCTTTCAAAATTCACTGGGAAAACTGTATGCAGTCTGTTAGTTATTCATGGACATGCTCTGATTTCTGATGGAAGTGCTGTGGTTTCATTTTGTTATCATCACAGCAAAATTAGAAAGCAGCAAAGAAAATTAAAGGACTGGCATGTAGACATCTTCCAGCTAGCAAATTGTTATGTGTATACATTTTCATGGCTCGCTTGCCTTGTAAAAATAGTCATCATTCACACAGCCCTGTGTTTGGAAGACTCAAACTAGCCTTTCCCCTACTGCTCACCCCTGCCCTGCCTTGCCTTGATGAAGTTACAAAGCCATCCTCTTCCTGCAACAAGCTCTGCAGAGTTACAGTGGATCTGCAGTACACCCACATCCTGCCACCAAAGCAGTGCTCGTCATGTAAACTATATTGGAATATCTCTTAACATCTAATGAAATGATGTGATCAAAATATAAATGTGCAAATTGTTTTACAATTTAATTTTGATCTTAAAATGATATCTCTGGTTAACCTTGAGCCGTAATAGTTTCCCACACTTTATTTGGATAGGCGCCTAGCTCTATGTATCAAGATTTCTCCCATTAATAATATATAATCTTGCATCTGCAGAGGAGTGATACTTTTCCAAAAGCACATTGACATACACCATCATGTCTGATCGTTACAAGAAATGTGAGAGGAAAATAAGGTAAGTTATTTTATAAAGGGGGACACCAAAATCCAAGATTTATAATTTTCCTCAAATCTCATGACTAGTAGAGATAAAGTCAGGCTAAAATCCAGTGCCAGTAACTGGTACTGTCTGACACTTTATGTCACTTTCTTTTTTTTTTTTTTTTTTGGTTTTTTTTTTTTGGTTTTTCTCCGGTACCAGGAACCGAACTCACGACCTTGCGCTTGCCAGGCAAGCGCTTTTGCTGCTGAGCTAAATCCCCAGCCCCTACTTTATGTCACTTTCCTGAAATGTTGTTTTGCAGGGGAAATGGAATGTAATCTTCTACCATGATAAGTTAAATCTGAATTTATTTATTTAAGTGACAAAAAATAAAATAAGTAGTTTCTTTTAGTCCCAACCTACAAAGCAAACATTATACTAGACTGCCTAAGTATGAACTTATTACATACTCCAAAGAGAGCTTTGAAAAACACGTAAATTGTCAAAAAACAAAACAAAACAAAAAAAACCCTAAACCAATTAAGGAGCTTTCTTCTAGAGCACAGTGCTGAGAAGGCAATGTGAAGAAAATGGACCTCAGTAATATTAAGGAGACTACAAATGAAGCGCAGATACGAATTTTTCACCAACTTTTGCATCTCTTGCATCTCTTCTTCCTAGAGGTTGGGCTTGTCTACTTGTTCTGAGTGTTCAGAGTCCTGCCAGGTTGTTGGAGCAGCACTGGAGAAAGGCGTACGAGTTTGGTGGCGTGCGTAAGGCTCGTGAGTGTAGATGTTCAGTAAATAATAATTGGTGACAAACTGAATGTACCAGTTAGAATTAGTCACACTGCTCAGGAACACCTGTCATACCGTACATAGTCGCCATGTTTCACAGCTACCAGGTAAAACTTTAACAAGGACAAATTTTATGGTTTTCTGTTTTGAAAGGACTTTAACACAGATAATTTATCATTGTCTACTATGAAGTTCAAAGTTCAGATGATACATGCCTGTGAAACCAGCTACTAGAGAGACTGAGAAGGGAAGATCCAGAGTTCAAGGCTAGGCTGGGCAACTTAGAAAGGCTCTGTCAGAAAAGGAAAAGGGGAGATTCAAAGTTGAATTTCCAGTGCACTTTTAGCAGCATAAGAAGAAATTTGTGACTTTGTGATATTATTTTAATTACTAATCTTACTTTCACTTCATCTTATTTTCCTCCTAATACCTACTATTTCCTTTCACAACATGTATATTACATATATAATATAATATATATTATACATATATGTACATATATCCATAATACATATATGTATATATACATAATATAATATATATTATACATATGTAATTGAAAATGATCCCATATTCTTTTGCAGTTAGGTAGGGTATAATTAAACACATACAAAAACGAGATGCTACTTAGAAACTAGGAACTATTAGCTTACCTCCAACCTTAGAACCTCAAAGAATCCCCATGATTTCTACACTCTTGTGGGCGATGTTAGCTCAAGTCTATTTATCATTTTACTTATTCTTTCCACAAATACTTACTGGCCACCTACTAAGCCCCAGGCATTAGTATATACAAAGGCAACACGATGTGCAAACCACAGGCAAGTTCCCGTTCTGGTGGGACTTACGCTCCAGTAGGTTGGAGGCATGCAAACAAATAAACAAAAGTGAAAGAATTAAATGCATGAAAAGACATTTTCAGATAATGATCAGTTTGATGAAAAAAGTGAAACAAGGTCACATGAGATCCTCAGATATAGTGAATTCCCTGGGAGTCAAGGGAATCTTCCCTGAAAGGCTGCCCGGGCGAGGGCCGGAAGGGACAGCTTCTGGGCTGCTGTCTGGGGGAGGGGCTCCAGGCAAAGGAACAACCAGGGCTGAGGCTTTGTGGCAGGGTGAGCAGGACATCTTTATGAAGACAAAGGGAGATGTCAGTGGCTGGGGTTGGCTGCGCTCGGCAGAGCAGGCCTGCGTTGGAGGTCAGGCGGCCTGCAGGAGTCGGATCACACCGGGCTTTGTCAAGGAGGAGGAGGTCAGACCTTTCTAAGTGGGATCTGAAGGCATCTGACTTCTGATTTTAAATGACCACTGCCTCTGTTTTGTAGAGAGAAGACTGTACAGAAGACAGGACTGGAAGCGGAGGACCTGTCAGGAGGCTCTGCTCCTTGTTCAGGGGACAAAGTTGCTCCTGGATCCACAGACGACAGAGGTCCAGCTAGAAGTAGATCCAGGAGGGGCTGGGGATTTAGCTCACCAGCAAAGCGCCTGCCTGGCAAGCGCAAGGTCGTGAGTTCGGTTCCCGGTACCGGAGAAAAACCAAAAAGAAAAAAAAAAAAAAGCATTAACTAACTCTTTTACCAGAGAAAAACCAAAAAAAAAAAAAAAAAAAGTAGATCCAGGTGGGCTCAGTTTTAGGGTGTGTGATAGAGCCAGATCTTCATGCCCAATCCTCTCCCACTCCCCTTGCTGACTTCTGTAAGACATTCAATGGTACCAAGATTGTAATCTTTGGAATTTTACTCAAGATTAATGGGGCATGGGAGGGGCTCGTTGCGGAAACGTGGGTGTCTTTAGTACAGCCTTCATTGTCTCACTGAGTCCCTATTAAGGATTTGTGGTGCCCACCTGCAACCCTCTCCTACAGATCCTCACCCACATTTAATTCTGTCTCCATTGGCAGCATTTAAGATCATATGGAAACACATTCACATTCCATATTATGATTATTTACATGAGTTGACCTGTGACTAACTAGGTGATGTGCTATTACGGTTTGTAGGCATTTAATTAGACATTTAATTTTATTTTATGCTTTATCTTGCTGTTGTTGAAATCCTTTTATTTTCAGGCCTGACACATCTTGTAGGCATTGTGAATTCTCATGCCTGTCTATGGAGCCTGACTCAAACAGCCATGACCAGGCCTCTCTGTGTGGCCCAGCCTCACTGGCGTTCTGGTGAATAAAAAATTGTCCCCATGTCACTGCACACAGGATGAATTGCAGTGTCAGCAGGTTTCCATGACACCGCCAGGCTGTGAAACTCACATCTCTCCCACACACTTGTTACCAGACCCTGACAGAGCGGACAGGGCCTGCTGTGTTCCTGCCTTCCTCTCATTTTCAGGTCCTCTCCACTCCCACACTCCCCCTCCGCACCCCAGATGGAGGCTGGAAGGGTCACCTCAGAGGCCGAGGGAGGAGGAATTCCGGGCCCTGGGGTTTCCGCGACTGACTCTGGGCAAAGGCACGGCCTTTATTGAGAAACCCTCCAGAGTCTGGATCGGGGAGTGAGACACAGGCCAGGCCTGAGAGAGCACAGCGTGAGGCAGGAAGCCTGGGGGAGCAGCGAGGGAGAACCTGGGAACAGAGGGAGAAGTAAGGGGCTCTGGAGCACAGCTGGAGAGCAAGGCGGAAAACAGCTGGGAAGATTCCAGAAAGGCAGCTGCATCCACTTCTGCTCCAGTAGTGCTGCAGTTCTGTGTTTCAACAAACACAGGCCAGGGGGCCCTTCCTTTCTGATGTAGTGCCATCCTCGCCCTCCCACTGTCCTCTGTCCGACCAGCACTGCTTGGAGATCACAAGGGGCCCTGCACACGTGGAGACATCTGAAAGTGAGAAACAGATGTGAGAGTTCTGCATGTGGACTCTGGAGTCAGATTGCACCTGGTCACACCCCAGCGTTGCAGCTTAATTGCCTGTTCCCTTCTGCATATTTCTCCCTAGGCTGTGCCTTGGTTTACTCAGCTGTCAAGTGGGATGGAAGTAGTTCCTATTTTCACTGAATTGCTGTAAAGTTTCCTGTGAAGCTGTGAGCATATCATAAGCCCTCCACAAATGCTTAGCTATTATTTTTTAATTGCTACATAGAATTACAAAATTATGGTAGTTTTTAATGTTTATATTTAACAAATTATAACTTTTAATTCAAAAACATGCACTGGCATATAGCTGCAAGATTCATAGGTAATTACAGAAGTTAGGTTTTTCTTTTTTTTAATTAATTCGTATGATCCTAGAAGAGGGATGGCCTGATCACAGGGCATAAATTTAGAGTTGAATGAGAAGCAATTGTGTCTAGATTTATATTTATAAACCCATTTGGAAGCAATAAAAAGTATAAATTTGAGGTCCTCTGTGAATGTTTGTTTCTAAGCCAAGTATTTTTTCTGTCCCCTCCCTGATTCTTGCTCCCTCCCACATTCGTATCTTAAAATGACTAGTGCAGATAAATCTAGGGAGTAAGCCTCCACTTACTGTCTGATTTCAAAATTAAGGGCATAAAGTCTTTACTTCCATGACTGGATGAGTTGTAGGTTTACATACATTGCACATGCACACATAGAGATTCTGCACAAGATGCGAATGTAGAGGGATAGATAATGCAAAATTAAAATGCACGTGTTCTGTAAAGAACTGAAGGCAGACTAATCCTTAAGAGGATGAAGACCTGCCCATGCTGACAAAAACAGTGGGGGAAGAACACATAAAATTCCCCTACCTCACAATTTCATTTTAACTCCCCTATGCCCAGTAGAAGCTGTGGGTAAAAGGGACGAGGAGCTGACAGTTTCCCACCAAGGGGCACTTTGTGGCTGAAAACATGACCCTAAACTGTAGCAGACCATCATGCAGCAACCTCAAGAATGACGCACAGTGAATACCGCCTCCAGGTTTCCCTGGAAACAGCAGTGCCACGCATGAAGGACTCGGTGGCTGCTACCCAGGGAACACTGCTTACAGAACTTTACAAACAGGATCTCTGCCAGCTCTCTGGAAGCTGAGATGAAATACCTACCTAGAGTACAGACTGGCTGATCTTTCAAAGGCCCTTTTATCCCTGAGAGTCTGTGGTTTTGATGTAGTGTTGAGGATTTTTCAACTTCCTCTTCAGAAGGGTCAGCAAGTATATGAAACAAGATCTGGTTCTGCACTAATTCCCCCAGGTAGTCTTTTTTTTTTTTTTTTTTTTTGGTTTTTCTCCGGTACCAGGAACCGAACTCACGACCTTGCGCTTGCCAGGCAGGCGCTTTTGCCGCTGAGCTAAATCCCCAGCCCCTCCCCCAGGTAGTCTTAAAAGGTTTGGAAAATGAATAAATCTGCGGTTACTCAATAAGTAATGGTGATCCAAACATGAAGAAAAATTTTAAAATTTCTTCTTGGCAAATCTAAGCCTTCAAATTTACTCTAAAGGCATAACTGGGGATATTATTCTATAAAATTGGAGGCAATGAATTGTTGCTGTGTAAACTGTAGGAACACAGCATTTTTTCAGTAAATGAGTTGCTGAGGAACACAGTTTGGTACATATTGATTATAATTTACTTTCTTTATTATTCAAGTTAATAATGTTCATTATTTCAGAGAAAGTAGTCAATGAATAAGGATAAAAACCTTAAGTTAGCTAATATTTTTAAGTGCACTCTACAAGCTACCACAAAACTTAGATGCATAATGCACTCTTTTACAAGCTGTATGAGTTGATTGAGCTCAGCAGAATGGTTCTTCAGCTGGCTACCCTGAGATCACCAGGGTAGCTGTGTGGTGCCTCAGCTGGGACAGCTGGAACAGCTAGGGTTCGGCTGGGCATTTCTTTCTTCTCCAGGTGGTCTCTCCAACAAGACAGCCAACCTGTGCAATAGCTCAGGGCCCCAAGAGAACAATCCCTTGGCATAAGCACATATTAAGATTCTGCTTCCATACTACTCTCTAGTGCCCCAATGGCCAAAACAAGTTACCCAATCAAGTTGAGAATCAATAGACAGGAGGACCACAGAAAAATAAATACTGGGAGGCCTGGTGCACTTGGGGCCATCAGTCTGTCAACCACACAAGCCATATATTACATCCATTTATCTTTTTTATAAACCAAAGCAATATTCACTAACTTAGGCACAGAGATGTTAAGTTACTTGATGAAAGCCACATTGGTGAGAATTGGCAGAGATGGGATTGAATCCAAACCATCTAATCCCAGAGCATGAGCTAAACATCTGAAGCCACAAGCATACAAGTAGGAAATTATTAACTTGAAGAAGTAAATAATATCTCAGAACTATTAGGTTTTTAAGTAAATAATATCTCAGAACTATTTGATTTGAGGACTTACACATGCAATAACAATAGAAGAATTTCATACTTTTTAAAAAGAGAAATCTCGTCTTACCTCCCCCAAAAATGTAAATCATAGAGGCAAGAGTATAGTCTGGGTTATATTTTCACTTCTCCTTACTTGTGCTGACTTAATCTTCTCGATTATACAATGGAATGATAATATCTGACTTGCAGGGCTGCAGCACAGATGAAATGAGAACACAGCACGAAGTGCCCAGAGTGCCCTTGGTGCTCTGTGTCCACAGTCATGTGCGAACACACTGAGCACACCTGGCCATGTAGGACCTGAGCAGGTCTCAGGGGGACTCCTTCCCTCCTCCATGAGCTCAGTGGGTCATTTTAGAGCATTGAGTTTAACCACAGGACAGGCTGTTACACCTGCCCATGACTGGAAATCCCAGGACAGACCAGGGCGGGAGAATCACTAGCTTGCTACAACGAATCCTAAGAACACCCAAAAAACAGATCCATGGTTCCTGGAAGACTTATCACTGGTTTGACCACAGGAGTAGTCAAACTACCCTTTCCTAACTCGATTAGGCTCTATTGTCTGCAAATTGAACCAATTCTAAGATTCTCTCAGGGCATCCCCCAAATTTGGCATGTATAGCTCAGTTTCTAGTCCTGATTGCCTTCTAGTACCTAAAACTATGTTGACACTAGCGAAGATATGGAAAGAGGGACAAAGAAAAAAAATCCATTTGTTGTGGATGGCTCGCAAACCTTGGTTTCCATTGTCTGGCTACGTCAGCAGCTGTCTGTGGGTTTTGAGGCAATTTACAGCTGGAAGAAACAGGGCTCTGCATTTCTTTCTCTGGGGACTGAATGATAGCTCATTCCACGATATCATGGCCACAGTTCTATACACAAGTTACAGCAGCTGTAAATTACAGCAACAACGTTATGAGTAAAAGGATAAATCCCTCGCTGCCACCTTTTATCTCTGAAGCAGTTGGGGAGGAGGAAGGAGGTCACGTACCCAAAAGCAATATGATCAAGGGGGTGCATCTGTGTCAGACAAGGCAGCTGGCAGCGGGCTCTTCTGAAATGCTCTCAAATGCTAACATATTATTACGCAAATCTCTTTTCCCCAGATGTGGGAAGGAGGAAGAGAAAGAGAATGAGTGAGAAGGAGATGAGGCAAACCCTTTCGCATTCATTCCATGATGCCCCTGCAGCATGTTGACCAAACACTGTTTTCCAAGGCCCAAGCTCCTCTCTCCAAAGCATAGTTTGATGGGACTTTTTAAGGATAGCTTTCACCATTCATTAAATGTAAATTCATGTAAGTTTTAAGGTTTTTGAAACTCAATTTTGTCACCTATAGAAAGGACATAATGGTCCCTATTTCAGTGTTAGTAGGGTTGCTAAGTGTAGTGGATTGACAACTGGTGGCCAACTTATAACCCCCAGCTGAACTGAGTAAGCGTGGTGCTGGGTGTGGGAGGCCCACCTGAGGACTGTGGCCAGCAGCATAAGAGGCAGAAAGGGAGAAGAAGAAGTAAGGCTGTTGGAAACTGGGAAAGACTGTTGGGAGCTGGTGGAAGCCGTAAGGAGCTGTTGGTTGCTTTGGAGGAGCTCATCATGCTGGCTTTCCTGATGAACTAGGCTGTTTCCATCCTCTGAGGAGCTCGGGGCCTTGTTGGCACTGAGAATGGCTTCAGGTCACTTTGAGGGAGCTCTGGTCCTCACTTTGAGCATTGCTTCCTGGCTCCAGAGAGGAAGATTGTGTACCACCAGTGTCCTGGAGGAGCTTGCTGCATTGGCTTTCCTGATGGGAACTCAGCCGTTGTGATCATCGGAGGAGCTCGAGACCTCACTGTTGCTGAGGATGGCTGTGGTACTTTTCAGGGGAGCTCTGGTTCTTACTTTGAGCATCGTTTCCTGGCTCCAGTGTAGATCTCTCAGCCTGCTAGCACAGATCCTTCATCCCGCTGACACAGACTTTCTAGATTCTACCACTGACCTTTGGGCTTTCCCAGTGCAAATCCGTGAAACAGGCCTGCATGAGATGTTGTCATGGGCTCTGGGCTTCCAGCTGGACTCATGGGAGGCATTGTTATGGGCTCTAGGTCTTCAGCCAGACTCATGCAGGGCATTATAGCAGGATCCAGGCCCTCAGCTGGATTCCTTGGTCTATAGTTTGTGGACAGATTGCCTGCACTCTTTTGCATATCATTCTTTGGGTGACTATTATAAATAATCTTATAAAATATGTGTCCTGTATTATGTAGTTTCTCCTTGAAAATAACCCCAAAGCAACATACTAAGTAAACTCATTTGCTCCTTCAATATCCTGGCCTTTATTCTACATCTACCAGTTCAGCATCCCACATGTGTCTGGGCAGGATTCCCTTCATCTCCTCTGGATCTCTTCATGCTCATACAACTCTCTCAGATGCACCGTGGCACAGGCTCTACCAGGTTTTCCCACCTCGGGTACCAGAAGGATCTTTCAGAATATCACAGACCGTACTGCACCCAAAGTGCTTTGTTCGCCCACACTGGCTGTAGGTGAAAGTCCAAATCAGAGAAGAGAGCAAGCAGCTCTGTGCTATGACCCTACGGTCCTCCCTAGCTCCCCTCCACCCACCTCTCAGTGCCCACACCAGCTTCTCACTGCTTACTTTCTCACCAGCTTCTCCCTCTCGCAAGCCCCTTTTTCTTCATGGAGGCGCAACTTTTTCCTTTCCACCTAGCACATCCCCTGCACTCTTCGAGACCCAATGCAGGAATCATTTCCTCTATGATTTCTCTGCTTTGCTCAGGGAGCATGTGTGCCCGCCCTTGGTGCAGCATTCTTTACCTGCAGGAGGAAGCTTTCAGTTCATTACAGAGCAGCTTGACCAGCTTGCTGTCTGCTGCAGCTGTGGTCTGTGTGAGCCCAGGGAACACATGGGCCTGCGGGGAAGAGGCCTCCAGATGTGTTGGACAAGATGAATGGGCAAGTAGGGGCTGGGGATTTAGCTGAGCGGCAAAGTACCTGCCTGGCAAGCACAAGGTTGTGAGTTCGATTCCTGGTACCGGAGGGAAAAAAAAAAAAAAGATTAATGGGCAAGTGCAAAGTGCCCCCTAATGCATCTTCTTCCTTCTAAATGGCAACTGTACTCCCTCAGATTCATCTCTGGTTTCAATACTTTAAATTCACTTTCAGGAAAATTCTTGAACTGAAGGATGTGGTTCAGTTTATAGGCACAGAACAGTATGGAGCCATTATTTCAAGCACAGGCGATAACAGGGAGACTCAAAATAATAAAACTAACAAGGCATAATTCTTGTAACACGTTATCAATGGTTATAGTCCGTCTAGTTTATAAAAGTATGAGTTTCTAGAGCAGGTTTTAAGTATTCAGGCACAATAATCACTTCTCAGCCTTTTGGTTGAGATTAAGTGTAGTGACTATTAAAACATAGCTAAAAGATGACATATTTTAGAAAAGAAATATTTTCAGGAAGAACATCAGCAGGTAGTATGGCTTTTGAGAAGGGGCTAAAGCTATTTATCAGTAGTATGGCAGGTCTGAGAGCCCAAAAGATTCTTGCAATGGGGTGGTCAGATGAGCTGCGGACAAAGCTGAACTTCCCAGGTGAAGTCTTGGGATAGACTTTGCCTTTGGAAGAGTTTTGGCAGCCTAGGTTTACTTTTGAACCAATTTTTTCCCTTGTACAGATGGTTCATGATTTATAATGGTCTAACTTAGTACCTTTTGACTTTAAAATGGTGCAAAATCAATAGGCTTTTAGTAGAAACAGTTCTTCAAAATGCCTTGAATTCTGTCTTGACCCTTCCCAGGCTAGACAGATGTGGTATGACGATCCCTTGGGATGCTGGGAAGGGGCGGGCAGCCCCAGGCCCCCGTCAGCCACGCGATCACACAGGAAGCACAGTGCAGTGTGCTGTGCTGCTAAGCTGTGATGTTCAGCAAGTTAGGTGTGCATTTTTCAGTGAAGATACTTTCAGTTTAGGATAAGTTTACTGAGATGCAAGTCAATCCAAAATGGAGGAGCATCTGTATTCTTCAGCGTAAGAATTGATTTCTTCTTTATAATTAAAAGTAACATAAAGGAAAGGCAGCCAACACTTTCTTCCTTTCATTATAAAATGCCAAGGAGTTTCAGTCCCGAGACCTAAGAAGGCATTTTGGGGCAGGGGGCAGCTCTGTCAGGCAGCCTGCTGCACACTTGACGCCACTTCTTGGGTCAGACCTCACTCTACACGTGCTTTTGCAGTGGTGCCACCAGGGCTTCCACCTCAGTCTTTGTTGTTTCCTTTTTTTTTTCTTTAGATATAGGATCTTGCTAAGTTGCCCAGGCTGGTTTCAAGCTTGCAAAGTTTCTGCCTCAGCCTTCCAGACTGCTGGAATTGTGGGCAATTAAAATGGTGAGTTTTACCATGTGTAAATTATACTTTCATATACCACACACACGTTCTGCTCACTCTGGCTGGATCAGGACCCTTGGAGTTATCTAAGAAATGATCATGTGGATTTTGCCTGTGTTGCACATTAAAATTCTGTGGCAAGTTTTATTTGGAAAAAGAGTTCTGTTAAAAACATTTGGAAACCACAGGATAAGACAAATGCCAGTGAGGAGCAGCTGAGCTTCACCGGGAGGACGACGCCTCTCTTTGTGGTAGTTGGAGTGTTTTGTTCTTTTTCAGACGTGTCTTACAAAGAAACAGAAATCAGAAGAGGAAAACAAATTTAAAAGGCTGGGCGTATTTACTTTTCCTGAGTAATGCCCAAATAGTTTTCTTTCCTTAGAATTTCATCTGGGTTTTCTCAGTGGAGGACCATGGCGTGGGAAGCCACCTGTCAATCAGTCTGCAAGGACTACACGACGGCCCTCAGTGAAAACAGCTGTGAGTCGGTGCTGCCGTGGCTAACCCCAAACAGGGACCTTTTGGGTTTTATTGGCCCCCGAACAGCAGTGGTAAGGCAGTGATAAAAGGACTTTGGAAAGTTTTTCAAGCCTGGGAAGCCAGCTGAATAAATCATCGCTGAAGCCGTGGTTTGGCTCTGAGAACCAGACACACTCCTGAATTCAGGGTTGTGAAAGGCTTCCGTCTGAATGCCCTTCAGCGGAGCCCGCCTCACCCTTTACCACCATCCCCATGGCCTGTTACTGCCTTCCAGTAGAACTTCTCAGGTCAGCTTGAGGCTTGGAGGTGCTAAATTTATGAAAACTCTTTGGGTTGGCTAGCAAATATTGGGACGTGAAATTCTTTCTTTCCAGCTTCTCCACGGACTCTTATGGCACTATGGCTCTATGGCTCTATGCGTCCCTACCACCTCCACCTCCCAGACTCTGCTAACAGGCCCCTAGAAGTCAGCGCCAGGTGCCGCATCCTGTCTGGTGGCCCCATTTTCACGGCTCTGTCTTCTCCCAGGTGCCAGTGGCAGCTCCCTCTCCCCTCTTCCTGTATAAGGGGATAGGAGCTTCTCTCTGTTGCTGGCTCCTGGGAGATTCTCCACCCATTATTGGTTTTCTTATCCTACCCACAGCTTTGTAAATAGTCCTTTTGTTACATTTTCCTCAGCCAAACTCTTGTTTAACCTGGTTTGTTAGGACAGTGAACGTCATTACTCTTTCATCCAAAGTCAGCTCGACCTCTCAGTATCCTTAAGGTAAAATCCAAAACTCCCTTCTACGCTTGCTCCCTGAGCTGGTCTCCTACTCTGCCCCTGCCCAGCATCTTCCCCTTTGAGGCCCTTTTCATCTGCTGTGCCAGCCCCGTGTGTTCCTCCCCAAGTGTCGCTACAGCTTCACTTTCTCATTTTGGTACCTAAGATTAGATGTTGCCTCTTCATTAGGACCATTCCTGGCCACTTTAAGGAGCCCTCCTTCCCTAAACACCTCCCATTACTCCTTATACTTTTTTTGCCCTTATCTCTATCTAAGATGTGTACACATGCCAGTATTTGCTCCCTCTCTCTCTCCCTCCCTCCTCTACACTCACATACTCTCTAAGGAACCAGGACTTTGAGTGATTTACCACTATATTAGTAAAGATTACAACAAGGAAGAAATGATGCATCCCCCAACTGAGTTAAATTAAAAGGAAACATCTAGAAAGATGCAGGCAACAAGAGATAATGCAGTGCCAGAGCTAGGAACACCACAGTAAGCAGAGCTTGCCAGAGCTTTAAATGGACTGCTGGTCAGGGGATGTGGCCTTCAGTTGCAAAACCATAGCAACCTAGCAATGAGCAGGTTCACAGGTCACCCCCCTCCTCCTTCCCGACCTTCCGATCTCCTGCTAGGGTTGGCTAGTGGGAAGTCATAGGGCAAAAAGCAAAATTGCTGCAGTCCATCCAGATTTGTGTCTTGGGACCTGGCACAGAGAGCAAGGCAGAGAAGAGCAGATAACAAGGAGTATATCTGTTTTCACAAGGCTCAAGGCAAACTTCAACAAGACCTGCCACATTTTACACCCCCAGGAAGGGTCATTCACCCAGATTTGTGCAACACGGTGGCCCTCGTTGGCAGTAGAATCTCAGAGAAGGAAGCACGGAAAAAATCCATGAATTCCCATGGTTTGGCTCCAGTTTCTGGAGACTATTTGGGGAAACAGCACTCACTTCCTCCCTAACGCAGTGTCATCAGGATAGATGAAGATTCATTTCCTGGAAGGGGTCTCCAGGGTGTCAGCCATGAGTCTGTAAGGTGAAGGAGGAGAATTCCTGGGGCTGCTAGGCTTATATGTCCTGTGCCAAGGACATTTCTGAAGTTGAAGAACAGCGTCTATTTATGTACAGCTTGGAAACAGGAGCTTGTTTTGTATTGTGTTTGGACGCAGAGAGGAACCAGGTAACAAGCTGGCAGCACTTCTGATTTTTTTCATGGAATTCAGAGCTCTCCAGGCTTTGTGGAGATAGGCACGAAATCACCCACCTATAGGGTCAGTAGCTGAATGGGGAGGAAGCTAAATAATTTCACACTGCTGCCATCCACTTTCAGCAAGTGTGGAATTATTACGGCAAGGGGTGCAGCGTTGATATAGTTAGTGGGATTATGAATCAGAAATTCCCTGTGAGCGCCTACTAGGTAAGGGAAGGGGTGAGAATTCACAGCCATGTAAAAACAAAAGCCCTGTCTTTAATAAGAGGTGAGAGGAGCTGTAGATGCATGACCGAGAGCCAGTTACATTACTGACGGTGGAGTGGGAGCCACCCGCCAAAAGGCCTGGAACATTAAACTAGAGAATCACACGATGTGCTGAAAATCACTGCCACAACAGTTTTCCCTACCTCCTCAATGAGCACGGATTGGAGGAATAGGCGACCTGGGAGCGCAGTGAGAATGTAGAAACCAGAGCAGACAAGACGGTCTGCTGGGATGCGCAGCTCAGGCATCCTGTTGGTGCCTGGTGGCTGGATTGCGGCGTTCTGTAAACAGCAGAGTGAGAAACAGCTGTGAGCTCCGAGCTACTGCATTTACTTGGTAAATTTAATTTACCCACACACCTTTCTATTTGATCCATCCTATCTATTGGGTGAAATAATTTCATGTTTCCAACTGCTTTGCATTCCCTTTGTTACAAAAGGAATATAACTCCCCAACATGCGTTAATTTCTGGTAGAAACTCTAGCTCCTTGCAGAGGAAACTGTTAAATGTTTATTGATGGGTTACACACTGATCCGCCCCCACAAAAAATAAAACCAGCAAGTATGTGTTCTCTGGGGAGCTTTTAAACTTCAAGCCTGTGATGCAGAAACTTGTTCTTTCTTGTCATAATCCACCCTAAGGCACCGGCAGATCATAGAGTAGGAAATTAAGCTTGAATATGAAATTGGCATTTGGTAGGGGAATCACTGTCTATTCACCATTCATTGAGTCTCTCTGTGGCCTGGGCTCTGTACTAGACACGAAAGAATCAAAGATGGATAAGACTTGGCGTTGGTGCTATGCAGACTGCAGAGTGGTTGGGAAGTGGCGGAGAAATGCTGTGCTAGGGAGAATCGTGGAGTGTTGATAAACTTAAGCTGCTGACCTAGCAGGGGCTGGCGATGGTCAGGGCAGCGTTGGAGGGCCTTCCCTATGCCTCTCCAGGGCAACCTCTGCTCTGCTCTGTGCCCTGGGTGCTGATGTGTGAGGACTGCGTCAGTGAGCCCTCTGCTGCTACTACTTGAATTTGCTCCCAAAGGGGAGCTCCTTCAAAAGTGAGCCCAAAGGAGGAGAGTAAAGCTGAGGTGTTAATTTTCTCAGAGTTCTCTCATGACCATTGCTGACTGGTTGGAGGATGTATCCCCTGCTTAGAGATGCAGCTTTTTGGGGGTTAGGAGGCTGGGAGGTCTTCTGTGCACCACTCTTTCCCTGCGGTTCTAGCACCTTCTCTTCCCTGGCCTTACCCAGCCTCTGGAGTGACAGCAGCAGCACCAGCTATGGAACACTGTACCATTGTTTTTGGTTTTCTTATACCCCATTCATATCTTTGTAAGTAGTTCCTTTAGTAATTCTCCCTAACTATCCAGTAAGAATATGATGACCCTCTCTATTGGATTTTAATCCTAGATTTCCAGGGAGAAGTGATGCCTGAGCTGAGTGTGGAAGAGTGAACAGTTCTGTGGGTGGAGAAGTAAAGAGCCCAGTCCGAAGCAATAAGCAGCCAATACAAAGATGGAGGGAAGGCGGTCATAGCGTGTTTTGTCCCTCAAGGCTTGAACATTGAACCTGATTTTTCCTTTGCCCGCGTGACACCCGGATGCCACAGCCCATCCATTCTACTTCTGCACCCTACAGAGAGCCCTGCATAACTCCAGGATAAAGGCAAACTCTTAGGCAAAGTGCTCAAAGCCCTGCCGGCGAGTCCTATCTGCCCATTGCGCCTGTGGCTCGAGCACTGTCGCAAAGATTCACTCTCTGCCATTTGTTCTCTCAGCTTCCTTTGCTGTCCACAGAGCAAAACCTCAGGGCTGCCTCCTGTAGGCAGCTCAGCGACCAGCCGCTCCCTTCTGTAAGACAATGCACACAGAGTTCTTGTACTATAGATGAATAGTGCAAAAGTAAAACGTCTGACCAGTTCTCCGTGAAGAATTTCCCCCTAGAATCACATTTCTTTACGCTGTGCTTTTAAGATACAAATGGACACCTGATCCATCAGGCACAGTGCCTAGGATCTATGAAAATGCTTTATTTCTTTTAAAATCAGAAGAAAAGGGAATATAATGATAAATCTGTAATAAATGTTCCAACTTTATACTAATACCGTTTTAATATATAATTTAAAAATCATCTTCATACTAACAAAGTTGTAAAATATAATGTTAAGACACTTTTAAATGGAGAAAAGAGCCCATGAAGGCAAAGTTACCTATGACCCACAAAAGTCATAATGTGCCCTTGTTTCTTCATCATTTATTCCACCAATGAATAATTTGATTCAAAACTCTGTACATGAAGCTACTACTATAAGTCAGTCACTATGCCGTTCAGAACAAAACCTAAAGGATGGTGAAAGGGTCCCCGCCTGTCACAGTATTAGGTAATGGAGAACAATGAGGTACAGAATTATCCAGGGAGAAATGCTGCCTTCTCAAACAGCTGGTGAGGCGGCTGAATGGGAGTTCCCAGCACACGGTCCCAACCGGACAAACTCTGGCTATCGGGAGGAAGGTGACACAGTGTTGCAGCATCACATGATTTTCCAAGTGAGGAGCCTGGGGCTGGGAGTTTCGCTCAGCAGCACAGCGCCTGCCTGGCAAGTGCAAGGTTGTGAGTTCAATTCCCGGTACTGGGAAAAAAAACAAACAAACAACACAAAACAAAAGGAGCCTAAGGCTAAAAGAAAGGGGTTTTATGGTTGTTGTTGTTTTTTTTAATACATGTTTATACAGATAGAAAGGCATGGAGTGCTAGAGGTTCTTGACATTTGTAATATACCACGTCAAAATTAATCTTGATTTTGCTGAAATACCTCATATATAAGCTCTGAAAGAAAAATAATGATACAGTGTAGAATATGAAGGCATTAGTGAGTTTTACTACCTGAGTATCTAGATAAAATTTCAGCCATTTGGGTGAAAAGGAAAATAGAAGGAAACAAATAAAATACTGTTATAAATAGTCTGTCAATTTGGGGATGGATTGCCACCAATACAGCTATAGCTTATTTCTAGGGAAGTGAATGATAGGGTAGTATATCTTGTTTTTTAATCTCTCTACACTGTTTTGTTCTTACAATGAACACCTACAAATTATGTCTCTGTCAGTATAATTTACCAAACAATTATAACAATTATAAAGTCACTTGTTAGGAATTTCTTTTTAAAAAATTTTTACTGATACCGGTACATGTTTATGGTACACAATGATTACATTCATTGTGGGGATTCGGCCCATGTACATAATATCAATTCCTTCTTCCCCTTTCCCTCCATCCCCTTTTTTAAAATTTTTTTCCAGCATCAGATTCATTTATTTATTTTATAAGTCCCTACCAGGTTAATTTTTGTAACAATCAGACTCACAGGCAAAAAAATATATATAAAATATATAAGATACTTATACTAAATCAAGATATACTTTTAGATACATTGGCCTTGCTTGATTACAATTTTCTCTTTTCTTTAGAAGAATTCTTTCAAGGCACTGGGGATTTAGCTCAGCGGCAAAAGCGCCTGCCTGGCAAGCGCAAGGTCGTGAGTTCGGTTCCCGGTACCGGAGAAAAACCAAAAAACCAAAAAAAAAAAAAAAAAAAAAAAAGAAGAATTCTTTCAAAAAACAATTACAGACATATAATGTTTATAAAATGGAAAAGTGGAAATAAACTAAATGTTTAACAATACATGATTGATTAAATACAATTTAAAATCAATTTAGTCTGTCCTTAAATGGTTAGGAAATTGTTTGGAACAGTATTGATTGATACAAAAGACAGTCATATTATTAAACATAATACATAAAATATATGAAGGAGTATATATGCAATAATTTCCTTTTTATAAAATTAGAAATACTTCTTTTTAAGGCTAGAAGGGATATACATTAAAATAGAAGTAATTTGGGGATGTTGGAAATATAATAAATTTTTTATTCTCTAAAATTTCCTTTGTAGCCCCTCCCCATATATATTCTTTAGTAAATGGGAAACATTTCCCTGAACATCAGTTCTCTGATTGAAATCGGATATTACTTTGAAAGGAGGAACAAAAGATGCCCTTGCTGTAAATCCAGCATGTCCAAGATCTATCCAACCATTTCCTCCTGCAGCTTGCTTCTCCTCTTCCCTTAGCATGTTGTGACCCTTGCGGAACTGGAACACATGAAGTCAGGACCTTGTTTCCCAAACCAAGTTACAATAGCTCAAATGGCCTCACGGGGTTAGATTGCAGATAGACTGAGGGGAAAGGCATTCCAGGCAGGAGAGCATAAACAAGGCTGGGATTTACATTATGCGCACTGTGTTTGGAAAACTGTGAGGAGACCTCAGAGGGTGAGTAAAAAATGTGTGAGCACAATAGCGAGAGGAATATAAAGTTGGCCAGATTAGAGGACCTTGAATATCACACTGAGGGTTGCTCAATTCATCCAGGAAATGATGGGGCTGTTGAGTCTTTCTTTGGTTAACAAGGTAAGTAGAGGTAATTGGAATTTTAGAAAGTCTCATCTGGGAGCTGAATGCAAAATATCAGTTTTACCACTGCTTTTGTGTCTGTCTTAATAAGTCCTCGTCAAGACAGAGGCCGTGGGGGAGGAAAAGACAACAAAGGAAATAAACCATTTACCATTTGGACTCAGGATGTCCTCCTACAGGCTTGTGCAGCTCGGGGAGATGCACCTGGCTGGCCACCCCCTCCAGACTCCAACCCCACGCACACTCTTCTAGCCCAAAGAGGAATGACTGCGAGGCTGACCCCTGAGGCATGGGCAGGCCTCACGGTGTGGCTGTCACCCGTAGTCACAGGCACACACGTCCAGACACATCTCAGGAGTCCCAGGGAGCAGATATAATTGCTTTGTTCTCCTCCTACTCAGTGTAAAGATGAGGAAGACGAAGTCCAGGAACATTTTCTTGACTTGTTAAAAGTCTCACAGTCATTAAGCAGAAAAGCCAGAACCAGGGAGGTTCCAGCACCATTCCAGGTAAGGTGGTAGGCTGGGTTCTCATTATGCTTGATGGTGGTTCGTTTTCACAATAGCCCTTATGCCGTTGTCATCCCCATTCTACAGATGAGAAACTGAGGTTCACCGAGCACTGGAGTTCATGTCTGTTTGATGCCAAAGCCCTGTGCTTCAGTTCACTGGTATATGACCCCAACGACAAAGGAAAAAGATAAACACTACCAAGGGTAATGGAGCAAGCCAGTCCAAATCACTGGAGTAAATGAGGCGAGGAATTCTGATTCAAGCTTTGGTGCAGAGGAAGATCAAGTCTATTCTACTCCTGTGCCCCCAACCCATCTATCTCCTCAAGGCTTTTCTTCGCTGCCTCACATCCAGGCCTGTATTCAAATGCTCAGTGCTGCTAGGAACCAGAGAATAGGGCTTGATTTTTTAAAATCACGACAAGGAGGAACCCAATGTTAGCAAACTAAAAGCAGAAATCCCAACTGTCAGAGCAAGTATACTTACACTTTGTACAATGTCTATTTCCTTAAAAACCAAGCAGCCCTAATGAACCGTCTGTTTAATTAGCAGAATGTTCTTTGGACAGGCAGAACTTGGAAGCTTCCAAAAAAATAAATATATGAAGTAAATGGGCCCTTTGCAATGCTTCTTTCCCCTTTAAAGGCAAAAGGTCTGAATGAAATGCTTTTTGGCCATTGCATCAGCACTTTAAAAACAGTTTCTTCGATGTGGACAGACCAGTACATACAAGAAAAAAACAAAAACACAGGATCTCAGGTGTTTTTACTTCTTTGTTAGGACTGAGTAGTATTCGTTGGAACCCAACTGTTATTGAAATTATACATTTGTTCCACCTCTTCATATTTACCTGGTTTCTTATGTAGACACCCAAAAAAGAAAAAAAAAAAACTCACAGATTTATATAAAGCAAAATAAATCTGACTGACCTTAGTGAAAGG